GGCAGTTAGGGGGTGTGTCAGAATGTTATTGTATACATCACTTTATAACTGCCTGCAATGTAGACTTAGTGTAGTTACCTTGCTTGTTAGGTGGTGCACCTTGCTTCACTTCTTTCATATTTGTACCCTTGAACCTATAGTGAAACCCTCATTCCCCTTCACAACTTTCTCGACACTCTCCTCACCCTCGAACTTAACTACCAAGGCTCCTAAGCTATGGCTCCCAAGCCCACCTAACTCTACCTATACCTACTTCTCTCACACGTGCATCGCCTCTGCTCATGTCGGCGGCGTTCCGGTGTTTTTGTCACATGCAGCGCATGGTTGTTTCTGCTCTGCTGCTGATCTCATTTCGTTTTGTCGTGTGTGTGATTACCGTTCTGTACCCATTTTCTCGCATGTGTGCCGATTTTGTCAGTTTTGGATTTGCTTTTCAAGCGATGCGATCGTTCACCCGATCTGTATCAGGTGGGCCAAGTGCCACGCGACACCCTCGGCCCGAATAGAGCACCCGATCTGTATCAGGTGGGCCAAGTGCCACGCAGCTGAGCTGGCAGCAGGCAGAAACTGTTGCTTGGCATGGCATGTGAGCATCAGACAGTGCCACACGAAACTTTCACTACGAATCAGGAACGTCGCAATTCACACCAGTGCGTGTTGCATATGCTTTTACAGCGAATCAGCATCAAAGTCGCCTATTCTTTACAGTACATAAGCGATAACTTACATGTGACGAGATTTTGTCTTCAGAAATCTCGTAATCACGCAACCATTTCCTCAGCGTAACTGGAAGATATTCGCGACGAACGAGTGTATTTGGATGTCCCAGCTGTCGAAGTGAGTGTTGCTCACGTCTTGGCACTCCACTGCCATCTCGGAAGTGGGCATATCGGAAGGAAACTTCCAGGAAACTTCGCTCCGATAAGCGCGCAGAGTCTACCCCCGATACAAGTCTGAGGCTCAGCCTACCCTAGTAAAATTAGGCTGAAATTTCAGACAACTCATAAGAAAAAACTCTGGAAAATCAGACAAGGTACATAAATAAATTCTTTGAGTTCAGACTAGGTACAAAAAAAAAGTCTGAACGGACTCTGATTCAGACTCCAAAGTCTGATATCTAGGGCACTGCTGTCAACCTCAGGTGAAACGAACCATCGGAAGTAAACATCACTTCAACACGGCCAACAAAGCAGCGCCAACAGGGCCCAAATTTCAAGGGTACTTTACCCTTTTTGCCCTGCTCATAGGCCACTTTTTGGCAGTTACCCTTTTCAAATCAGGGTATGCAGATTTTTACCCTAGTGCAATCAGAATACGCTTAAAAGTACTCTTGTAGCTTTTCCAGTTACACTGACTGTATCAGGGTAGGGGTTCAACTACCCTTTTACCGGAACTTTTCCGTACCGCGGATTCCGCCACAGTCCGCGCCACGACGAAATGCTCCACGGTCCCACTGGACCATTTGTTGGATACACCCACTGGCGCGCCAACGTACATTCAGGGCGGATGGCACCGCACACCTACGATTGGTCCGTTGAGCGACATTGAAGCCAACGCACCCAGTTTCCGTGCGTCACGCAACATCGCGCACTGCCAACGGAGGCAAATTGCGCGCCAGGTGGGGTACGTGCTGTCGTTTCCACCACCTGGCAGTCACTGTGGCCTTGCAGCCATTGCCGTGCAGTTCCCTACCAGCGAGGGAACCTTGCTGCCTGAGGCGCCTTGGGCTTTGTGATTCCCGAGGGGTCTCTCAGGCTCTTGCCATTCTCTCGTTTCCCTCTCGTTTGTTGTTCCGAATGCCTGCCTCTGAGCCTGATCCGCCTGGTAGCACCAGGAACGGTCTCTCCGTTCTCGGTGTGTTACTTCGGCTGGCTGAGAACTATAGCGTCCCTATCTCTCAGCCTGCGCGTGAGCCATCCCCTGAATTTCTTGTCGGCACCGTTTTCCCGTGCGAGCGTTCGGCCTCGCCAAAGTCCCGGGAGCCACACCCGTCTCTCGAGCTTGTTCCCGATGGCGGCGAAGGCCCGTCGAAGCCGGCCACTGCAGCCCCGTCCACAATTAGCTCCGCGCCCGCGAAGCGACAGCGTGTGGGCGTGACATACAAGCAGCAGAGGCTCTGGGGCGCCCCTCCTCCACGACAAGAGGCATCACCGCCACGCCGTGCTGCTCCTGCTCAGCCGAAGCCTCCAACCGCTTCTGCAGAGGCTGAGTATGAGTTGGTAAAAACGACTTTCGATTCGCAATGGTCAAAGAAATTCAGTTGGCTGCGCTTAATGCGCATGACTAACGGCAGGCCGTCATTGAAATGTGCCATCTGCATCAAGCACGGGGATCCAAACGCGCACACTGCCTACGGCGTCAGAGGTGAGGGTGCCCGAGACATGCAGCTAGGGAGCATCCGCGCGCACACATCAAGCAGAGCCCACAAGCAGGCCTTGGAAAACGAGGCCAAAGCAGACGCGGAAAAGGCGAAGCAAGCCACACTAACAAGGTGGCAGAGCACTGATGCAGCTACACGGCACATCATCCGCTGCCTCCACCTCGCGCTCTTCATCTGCAAGGCTGACGCGCCAATAGCAATGTTTGTTCCTTTGTGCTGGTTTCTGGCTAAGGAAGGACTGCCGGACCTTCCACCGTCTGGAAGGTACGGCGCCTACTACACCGAGTAAGTGCGGGTTCGTGGCGCTTGTGTTTGTTCCGTGACTCAAGCTGACCAGATGCTACTGCAACTTGTGTTCGTGTACCATGTGTGTTGTCCTCGCAGCTACGGATTCAAAGAGATGCTGCGCGCAACCTCCACTTACCTTCAAGAGACTCAACGCGGCCACCTTCTGGAATCCCCATATATAGGGATTCTTCTGGATGAGAGCACCGACCGGGTGAATGGCAAGCACCTGATACTGTATGCGACATTCTTCAAAGGGGTAACTCCGGTAACGGAGTTTTTAACTCTCATTACCGTGGACCGTGCCGATGCGGCCTCGCTAACCTCCGCTGTTGTGCAGTACCTTACAGGAATCGGGGTGGATCTCCAGAGGATTTCTGGAATATCTACGGACGGGGCGAGTGTGATGACCGGCAAGAACAACGGCGAGGAGTTTCATCAGGCGCTGGGGAACATGCTGCGCGACGAGGCGTGGCGTGCGTCGTTCCCCAACATCGTCCGGATGTGGCAGTCTGTTGCCGTGCTACCACTGAGCACGGTTGAATGTGAGCGCGGCTTCAGCAAGCAGAACCTGATCAAGACGTGGGACCGCGGCAGCCTCGGCGACACAAGCCTTGAGCACCTGATGCGGTGCTCCCTCCTGCAGTACGACATTGACTGGTATGAGGTGGTCGCCATATTCCGCGGGGAGAAGCTCAGGCGATCCACCAAAGACTTCTCCGGCATGAAGGCCAGCAGCACTAAGCAGTTTGCAGACGAGGCAGTTGCTAGTGCAGCAGATGTTGATTGACTAGTGTCTTCTGTAGGGCCCTTTATTTAACTTGGTTGGTAGTAAAGCTTGTAGGTGCAGTGCAGAACACTTTAGTGATAACTAAGTAATTGTTGTAGTAGTACAATCTTATGCTTAGGAAGGAAACAGTGTACGACATATATTATCCTGCCAAAATCAGTGTACCAAAACTTTTAGGCTGCTACAATCAGTGTACGAGAAACTTTACCCTACCAGTCAGGGTACGGAGGGGATGCCACCCTGATTTGAAAGAGTGAGCTAAAACCTATTTTGGGCGTTGAGCGCCAATCGTTCTCAGGGTTGTGAATTTTTCAGTTCGTGTTGTTAGATTGTCTCTGATTTCGCTCCACACTGCACTCACAGCTTGGGTACTGTGTGCATAGTGGTCAAAGGTGTCAGCAGTGAAGTCAACAAGATGGGACAGCTGGCTGTTATGATTAAGGCGACAAAATGTGCTTATAAGCCTTGTGATATGGTAAGACCTTCTTTGGTGCGTTGCTGTCAGTCAAAGCGTTCCGGTTGGTATAACCGAGGTCAGTCTAGTGAGAATGAGGGTGTACACAGAAATTCTATGGAGCACGTATGCGGTGGTGAGCAGAGCAGCCTAGCCGTTGAAAATATCATTCTGTCGAACACACGTGAGTGTACACATGTGTGTACGGTATATGATTCCCAGTTGGGACGGTATGTCAAGCTTGACATATGGTAGGTCAGTCCTTACGGTATCCCTACAATTACAAATGCGGTTCTTCATATAAGCATACGCTACCAGCACACAGCAGTTGTACTACACATACTTTTCACACTCACATCACAATGGCCAAGAAACCTTCAGCACATTCACATCCCGCATTTCACAGGAAGTAATAGTGGTCATCTGCGCACCACTGCCCCATTCTAGAAAGCCGATTGATTCCATCCTGTGCATGTTTGTTTGCCCTGGTTGTGCGTGCTCCTACACATGTTTGTCCAACCCTGCCTAGCATGTGCTCCACTGGTCGAGTCGAGAGTGTGCTTGTAACTCCACCATCCTGCTGCCAAGCATGCCCTGCTTTCCCCTTCTCTTCTTGCCCCTACCAAGCGTGGCAGTTACAGCGCAATCAAAACCAGCAGGCAGTCGGGCGTCACTGGCTGTGGTTTTCCCCGTGCTGCAGTCCGCTAATCCGCATCCGCTCCTTTCGGTCAGAGGTTGCCGCCCCGAGATCTGGCAGCACTTCTATTGACAAGCTGCTGGGCACACGAAGTCCAGGAGAAAGAAGCACAGGCGGACGCAACGTGCTCAGCCTCCTTGGTCTTGCGGATGGACCAGGGATGTGGTTTGGAGGGGTGGAGAGAGATGGAGGGCGAGAGGGAGGGAGAAGAAAAGCACAGAGCCGTTTCTTCGAACCGTCGCAACGCATATGAGAAGCACCCCTCTCCATCCATTTCCCCTCCTTGCATCTCCCTTTGGGGACGCCCCTTCAACCCATCACCTACCGGCAGGCCCCTTTCCATCCCCGCGTCGCCCTTGCCATGCTGACCTGTCATGGTCTGCAACGGCTGGCCTCACGGCGCCCTGCAATGAGGGTGACGATCCCCCCTGCCACCAGATCTGGGGAAATGGGTAACATAGTCAGAGCACCGTTTACCTCCATGGCCCTCAACCCAGTCACAAACCTCCCATCCCAACCCCGACCAACACGTCCCATCCCATACCATCCCGACCCACCCTATTCCAACCCCGTTCCACCCCATCTTCCCACTCCATTTTATTCCATGTATCCCATCCCACCCCACACCACCCACACTCACCTCGTCACCTGCATCTGGTTCAAATGTGTCTCCTTCCCGCTGCTGTCAGCTCACCCCCCCTAGTCCCCACTCTCCCCAGCATGCTGCCAGGCTACGACCTGAGGGGATGGCAGAGGCGCGAGGGGACGGACGACGGGAAATGGTTAGACAGGAAAAGGGGAGATAGGAATGGGGAGAAAGGGAGAGGGAGGCAGGGAGAGGGAGACAGGGAGAGGGAGGCAGGGAGGGGGAGACAGGGAGGGGGAGACAGGGAGGGAGATACAAATAGGCGAAGGACAAAGAGGATGGACGACAGGAACGGGGTAGTGGAAGAGGAGGGAAAGCAAAGAAAGGACGGAGAAGGAGAGAGAGGGGCGAGGGGAAGGACGAGGCGCAAAAGTGCCATTAGATCAGAAGTGCCATTGTGCCATTCATTGCGCAAAGCTGAAGCAAGCCTGCTGCGGTCAGTGTCGGCATGTCGTTGTGAAGAATTCGGGGATAAGCAGGTCGTCTCCTGATTCGACACATGCGACCCGCCAGATCTGAGGCGAGGCGCTCCGGGCAGTGACCGTCACGCGGGTGCGAGGTCACGTGGGTGTGAAGTTGAGGAGGTCACGTGGGTGTGAAGGTGAGGAGGTCACGTGGGTGTGAAGGTGAGGAGGTCACGTGGGTGTGAAGGTGAGGAGGTCACGTGGGTGTGAAGGTGAGGAGGTCACGTGGGTGTGAAACGCCTTGATCGTAATGGCGGCCGACATGTCGTAGCGCAACGGGTAATTCGGGTCAACATATGGATAAGGATGTAATGACGCAGAACGTGCGAGAGCCAACCGCGCGAAACGCGGAGCTGCGAACAGCGACGCCGTGGGTAAGGAGTGGTGTTGCATTAGAGCGACAAGTTGGCTGCAGGCCGTCTGTTTTACGTGTCGAAGGCAACGTGAGAACGCAATAGCCATGCACGAGAAGGATCGAACCGTAAGATCCTGACGGACGGCGTGGGACTTGAGCGGCTAGGTTTGCGATCGTACTTCAATGCTTGCCAGGTAGCAATTTTCTTCCCGCCTCATATAATGGAGGCAGCAGGTGATCATCAGCATATCCCATCCATAATACGATCAAGCGAGGTGATTGTAGTGCTAATACCGGTACCGAGTTGTCTAGAAATCTGTACAAATAATATTTTACACAACACAAATAAAAAGCAACTTCACGTGGTAAGCATGGCAGCATGATTTTTTTGGGTTGCGAAGCAACCCTTTGCGATCGATTTTGCAAAAAAATATTTTCATATTTATTTTCATATTTTTTTATAAAATATAAAAATAAATTTCGTAAACTACAGTACATTTTCCAAACTGATGCGTAGTTTTGAATACTGTTCACAGTATATTAAACCATGTGATCTATCTTTGTCAGTGGTTTTGTGCAGATATACTGTACTGTTTGTATTAGTAGGTTTTCCTATTAAATGATGTTGTGGTAATGAAAAATAGATGCATGATGCATAAATAATGCTATAGGATGCATAATATTTAATATAATGCCATGAATCATGAATGATGCACATGCATGCACATAATAAATGTCAAACTTATATGCTAAAGTCTGTCTAGGCTGTAGTGGGGTAGTTCATATAGGGTACAACACTTTTAGGTTTCCTACTTGTACCCACCTGCTTGCTAGTTCAGTCATTCATTCCTTCACTATTCTGACATGGTATTATGAGCAGGTTCCCTAGTGGGAACGTTCTTAGGGCCCACCACGATTATTTTTTTCCTGCCCTGCCCGAAGCGCGCCTCGCGCCTGCCTCACCAGCGCCGTCGCGCGCCCTGACCTAGTAAGGCCCATCGCGGCCCTGCCTTCGCTGGCCCCTCGCGGCCCTGTTTTCGCCGCCCGTCGCTAGCCCGTCCCGGTCCGTCGCCGCTCGTCGCTGGCCCGTCGCCGCTCGTCGCGGCCCTGTCTTCGCCGCCCACTGCGGCCCTGTGAGAGACGGAGTAGGAGGAGGAGGAGGAGCAGGGGATGCCACACACCCGCCACCCCCATACCCTCCCCCACTGCTGCACCTGCAGCAGGGGATGGAGGAGAAGGGGGGGGGGGGGGTGCTGTGCATGGCGCGTGCAGAGGGCAGCAGGGCAGCAGGGCGCACGGGGCGCACAGGGCAGCAGGGCGCGCGGGGCGCAGCAGGGCTGGCGGGTTGGCCACACCCGCCACCCCCATACCCTCCCCCACTGCTGCACCCGCAGCAGAGAGATGGGGGGGGGGGGGGGGGGGGGGGGGGGGGGGGGGCAGGCAGGTGCTGCAGGTCCCCTCCCCCCACTGCCGCATCCGCACCAGGGGGATGGCAGATCCCCTCCCCCCCACTGCTGCACCCGCAGCAGGGGGAGGGAGAGGAGAAAAGGGCGGCGGCGCGGGGTCCAGGGGCGGCTGCTCCAGGGGCCAGGGGCGGCTGCCGAGGTCCAGGAGCGGCTGCACCAGGGGCGGCTGCTCCAGGGGCGGCTGCACCAGGGGCGGCTGCTCCAGGGGCGGCTGCACCAGGGGCGGCTGCACCAGGGGCGGCTGCTCCAGGGGCTGCTGCACCAGGGACGGCTGCTCCAGGGGCGGCTGCACCAGGGGCGGCTGCACCAGGGGCGGCTGCTCCAGGGGCGGCTGCACCAGGGGCGGCTGCACCAGGGGCGGCTGCTCCAGGGGCGGCTGCACCAAGGGCGGCTGCTCCGACGCGTGGCCCCCCCCCCCAGGTCGCCCCTCCCGTCGCTTGTTGAGGCGACCTGAGGGGGGGGGGAGGAGTACGGGGGCCGACGCGTGGCCTCCCAGGGCGCCAGAGCAGGCGGAAGAAGGGGCGACGCGCGCCCCCCCAGGTCGCCCCTCCCGTCGCCTTGCGTGGCGAGCGGGGGGGGGGGGGGGGGGGGGGGGGGCGCGGGGGGGGGCGGTGCACGGGCCCCTGGTGCGCCACGACCGGCATGAGGGCGGGGCCTGGGTCGGGGCAGGTCCGGGACAGGGCCGGGACGGGGTCGAGGAAGGGCCGGGGCGGGCCGCGAAGGGGCCTAACGGGCCGCGAAGGGGCCGCGACAAGCCGCGACGGGGCCTAACGGGCCGAGAAAGGGGCCGGGGAAGGGCCTGGGCGGGCCGCGAAGGGGCCTAACGGGCCGCGAAGGGGCCGCGAAAGGGCCTAACGGGCCGAGAAAGGGGCCGGGGAAGGGCCTGGGCGGGCCGCGAAGGGGCCTAACCGGCCGCGAAAGGGGGGCCGCGACGGACCTAACGGGCCGCGACAGGGTCGGGGCAGGGCCGGGGTCGGGGCAGGTCCGGGACAGGGCCGGGACGGGGCCGAGAAAGGGCCGGGGCGGGCCGCGAAGGGGCCTAACGGGCCGCGAACGGGGCCTGACGGGGCCTTACGGGGCCTGACGGGGCCGAACGGGGCCGCAAACAGGGCCTGAAGAGGGCAGCAAACGGGGCCTGTCGGGGCCTGACGGGGCCGCAAACGGGGCCTGACGGGGCCGCGAAGGGCCTCACTAGGGGCCGCGAAGGGGCCTTACGAGGGGGCCGCGAAAGGGGCCTTACGAGGGGGCCGCGAAGGGGCCTAACGAGGGGCCGCGAAGGGGGCCGTACAAGGGGGCCGCGAAAGGGGCCTTACGAGGGGGCCGCGAAGGGGCCTAACGAGGGGCCGCGAAGGGGGCCGTACGAGGGGCCGCGAAGGGGCCTTACGAGGGGCCTTACGAGGGGCCGCGAAGGGGCCTAACGAGGGGCCGCGAAGGGCCTTACGAGGGGCCGCGAAGGGCCATTAAGGGCAGGCGCGACGCGCGCCTAGGGTAGGAAAAAAAAATCAGTGTAGACGTGGTGGGCCCTTAGGAAGGATCGATATATGCTCTATACCATGTGAGAATCGAGAATGAAATGAGTGAGGATGATTGCACTAGAAAGCAATTGGGATACATATAGAAAACCCTAACAGGGTTGTACTCACTACAGAGTACCCCACTGCAGACTAGAGAAACATAATATTCTGACATTACTCACACAAGCAAACACATTCACACAATCAAATGCACGAACACCGGCAAACCAGCAAAAAACGTGCGATAATAAATGTGAGAATAACAAACGAGAATGGGATGAGCTAGCAGCAGGATGAGTACAAGTACTAACCTTGAGTTGTGTTGTACCCCATATAGGCTACCCCACTACAGACTACACAATGTACAGCATATAAGTATGACACACCCCCATGGGCAAAGTGGGGGAGAACAAGTGGTCACAAGACCAGTCAAGAAAAGCAAAGCAAGCTCAGGGTGGATCACAAAGTCACCACACAGTCCGAGCACAAGCAAAGGGCCACAAGGCCAGTTCACATGCAGAGTTATATAAAGAGAACAAACAATACAGTGATCATATCCTAGCAAGTGCAAGCATGCAGGTATATATAGAGATCACAGTACAAGTAGAGTCAAGCAGTAAGCAAGTGAGGCAAAGTGGGCACAAGGCCTAACACAGTAGCAAAGCGCTAATGATCACCAGGCGGAAGTTCCTTGGTGAATACATCAGCAGTGTTGGCCCGAGTGGCCACGTACGCAAGACGAAGCTGGCCACGCTGCTGCAACTCTCGAGCAAGGAAGTATCGCAGAGCGATATGCTTCGTTCTATGCTCCATTCTGTGCTCCTGACACAAGGCAATCATGGCCTTGTTGTCTACGTACAGAACTGGAGGCGAACGATGCTGCTCTCCCAAGTCGGTCAACAGGTAGGTGAGCCAGCGTAGCTCCTGAGCAGCCATGGCCCCGGCCTAGATCTCAGCCTCACAACTGGAGCTGAGAACCGAAGACGAGCGGGTAGACTGCCAAGAAACAGAGCCGGAACCAAGGCTGAAGGTGTAACCCTGTGACGACCGCTGCGTAGCTGAGTCGTCAACCCAGGAAGCGTTTGCGTGACCAGTGAGGACAATTGGACCCCGTCCTCCAAGCACAAGCCCCAAGCCCGACGTACTGCACAGGTAACACAGTACCCTCTTTGTAGCATCCCAGTGCACCTTTCGGTGCCTACCGGGAGCGACGTAGTGAGCCAGAAGGCTGAGAGGGTACGCGAGGTCAGGTCGTGTGCAAGTCATCAGGTACATGAGGCAACCCACAAGCTCTGGGTACGGACCACTCGGCTCTACGGACTCGTCCGAAGGTGGAGCCGAGAGCGAGTGGCTGGTAGACAGAGGAGTGAGATGTGGCGAGGAGAACTGGAAGCCGAAGCGCTGAAGGACCTGGTGCACCATGTGTGACTGAGTCAGTGTGATGGTGCGCCGTGCTCTGTCCCGGGTGATCTGCAGGCCAAGATAGCTGCGCAGTTCACCCATGTCAGTGCAAGTGTGTCTCTTCTGCAGCTCGGACTTCACAAGAGTCAGTGCCTCAGTGTCAGCAGTGGCAAAGACGA